TTAATTACTCCGCTAGCAGGGCCAGTGAAAACGGCATTTGCGACCCCTCCGCTACTCCGCAAGATCCGGATATGTTAGTACACGCGCTAGAAGGCCCGGTAGCTCAAAACTTTAGGCCCGTTGATGTAGTAGTTTCCATTATCCCCATATAACCCCAATATACCCTAAACCCTAAACCTAGTAGTTTCCATTTTCTTTTCCATTATCCCCAAAAAATAGGCCCCAGACTTGATCAGGTTGGCGAAAGCAAGGCTCCGGCCGCCAAAAAAATCGTGAACATCTCAGAGCCGCCACAGCTTGTGACGGCTGCAGCCCCAGCTCTTGAGTTTAGGGTTGAGGGTTTAGGGTCTAGGATTTAAGGGTTTAGGGTTTAGGGTCTAGGATTTAAGGGTTAAGGTTTTAGGGTCTAGGATGTAAGGATGTAGGGTTTAGGGTCTAGGATTTAAGGGTTAAGGATTTAGGTTTTAGGGTCTAGGATTTAAGGGTTTAGGGTTAAAGGTTTAGGGTCTGGGATTTAAGGGTTTAGGGCTTAGGGTAGCCCTAGAAGCATGCTAGGGATAGATTCGTGTACAACGTAAGGCCTAGGGTTTAGGGTCGAAGCTGAAAGTAAGAGTCTCGGTCTAGGGTTAAGGGATGTGTAGGGCAAGCCGAGAGCAGTACCATGGTGGTCCCTATGCCAAGGGATCCCCGAAAGGTAGGGTTCAGGGTCAAGGGTTTAGGGGTTCCCAAAAGTAGGGGTTCTTTTTGGAAGGGTCCCCATAGTAAGGATGATCGTATTTTTGAGGGGTTTATATTGGAATCCCCCTTTCGGGAAACTACACTATCCGGGGCAATCCTGAGCCAGAGACTACATCTTTTTGTCCGCCCTTCTGTGCTTTTCATGAGGATCACTGCATACCTCTAAGCCCTAAACCCTAAACCCCTAAACCCTGAAGGTTGGAAGAGCCATTCGGAAGAAGGGCTGTCAACGTCCTCCTTGCGGAAACCCTGCCAAAAGCCCGGTTTCCCCAAGTCAACTACCTAGACCCTCCACCTACCCTCTAGTAGGGCCTAAGTATCCTGCACCCTAAAACCTACCCAAACCCCAAATCCTAAACCCTAATCCCTAAACCCTAAACCCTAAGCCCCCAATTAAGGGTATGAGGAGGGTCCTGGCGTGCTGGCCAGGACGAGCTGAAGGTTGAGAGATCCCCGAAGCTTGCGCCACAGGCCTTCCACAAGCGAGTTTAAGGTTCAGGGGTTTAGGGTTTTGGGGTTTTAGGGTTTAGGGTTTAGGGGTTAGGGGTTTTAGGGTTTAGGGGTTCATAGTCCCCCTTAAGTAGATAGAATATGGGGTATATGGGGATCTTAAATTAATATACCCAGAGCCATATTCTATCTACTGAAGGGGGACTATAGGGAGTTCAGGGTTCAGTAATTTAGGGGATTTAGGGTGTAGGGGGGTCAGGGTTCCCAGTTCGGGGTTTGGGCCCCTTCGTGGATACCTTTTATGTTGTCATACTATAGTCCGCCTTGAGTAGATAGAATCAGATAGAATATGCCTTTGAATATACTAGAGCAAGATCCCCATATACCCCATAGTCTATCTACTTAAGGGGGACTATAAACCGCCGGGATGATATCGAGCCACGCCAGTCTACGTTTTCCTTTTCTCCAGTGCACTTCGTTCGCCTCATGACATATGCCCAGAGGCACTGACTAGTAAAACCTCGGAAAAAGTTTCGTACCCTAAGCCTTAAATTCCAAGCCCTACGCCCTAAACCCCAAATTTTCAACCCCAAGCCTGTAGCCCTAAAATCTAAACCCTACGCCCTTAACACCAGTTCTAAACCCTAAGCCCTAAACCCTAATCCCCAACGTGAATCCATCCTGAGCTGGGATTGCCACAGACAACATAGGGTTTAGGGCCTATAGGCCTTAGGGTAGGGTTTAGGGTTTAGGGTTTGGGGTTTAGGGTTTAGGGCCTATAGGCCTTAGGGTTGTCAACAGCTTTTAGGGTTTAGGTTGGGTACTGCCCCCCCTCACTAACAGTTGGATAAGTAATATATTATGGTTATATATAGCCCTTAACTTAATAGGACCCCTAATATAGACTGTTACTGGGTGGGGGCAGTACCCAAGGTTTAGGGTTTAGGGTTTGGGTTTTAGGTTTTAAGGTCTAGATGTAGGTTCAAGGGCTTAGGGGCGACACACGTCGATATGTTTGTTGTCGACGAGCTTGACAGCATTGCACACAAGAAGAACATCGGCGGCGACAGCAGTCATCCTTAAAAAGAAAACCTTAGGTCAGTCCCCCTTATAGTAATAGCTCGTGAAAATGGGGTTAATAGGGCCTTAGTATACTTACAATAGTACCTTGTGCTACCCATTCCTGGGTGGGTGATTGACCCAAACAACACCCCGCCTTAGCGCAGTAGTTACAGAGATGATAGCAACACAAGGCATCTTGTGGTTGCCAACTCAGCAGCAGATCTTGGCTGGCTTTAGCCTGGCTTTGGGGACTTTAAGTCTTTATGTGGCATTAAAAACAATCTTACTGGTTCTTAGTGCGCTTGTCGCTTTTCGGCGTTGCCGGAAAGGAGAGCACGGCCCATTTTCATGGCCTCCCCCCAAAACCCAAACCCGATTGACATCTTGATGAACTTCAAACCCAAGTGTGCATCGGAGAACAGATGCCCTGGCAGGAATGGAGGCAGAAAGTGCTCCAAGAGGCCTGGGAATATGAAGAAAGGTGGCTTCAGATTTAGGATTTAGGGTTTAGGATCTAGGGGTTTAGGGTTTAGGATCTAGGGGTTTAGGGTTTAGGATCTAGGGGTTTGGGGTTTAGGATCTAGGGGCTTAGGGTTTAGGATCTAGGGGTTTAGGGGTTTAGGATCTAGGGGTTTAGGGTTTAGGATCTAGGGGTTTAGGGTTTAGGATCTAGGGGTTTAGGGTTTAGGATCTAGCGGTTTAGGGTTTAGGATCTAGGCTTCGCACATCTTGGGTGCCTAGAAGCAATACAAGTTGTATGTTTTCTGGCCCTGAACGCTACACCCTGAACTGCGAGCTGCAGGCAAAGCACGCTGCACCTCCGGTGGTAAGTCCTTTCGCCACTTGGCTCACATTTTCCATGATGAGCCATGCGCAACTGAGTAGTATTTTTGGGGGGCGATACTATGGTACCCAATATAGAGTAAGATTACATCCTCCTTTTGGGGTATAGTATTTTATATAAGGAATATACTCTTACTAGGTTCAACCACCAAAAAAAACCCTTACTCAACTGGGATGCATGCTCGAAACCAAGCATCCCGGAGAGGGATCCTACTACTGTACTGTCCTTAGGAGATATTTTCAATTTTATTTATCGTATGACCGGAAAGATTTCAAATAATAAGGAAACTACAGCATGATCTGGGATTTTGCCGGAAGTAAGTTTTAAGTATTGTGGACAACAATGCCCATGTTCCCTACTTCAAAAACCTGCGGCCCCTAAACATGTCTGTTATAGATGCTGGTGAGATGATTATGAGCATGTTAATGTCGGGGTGGAGGTCGTGGCGGTGGTGAAATAACGGCCGCATTAGCAGTAGTAGCAATACTACTTCTCGTCATCACAGTGACATTGAATGCTACGGGTAGTCCCGCCCCCGAATATTAACAAAAACAGCACACTAGTAACTCACTAGATTGCACATTTGCAACGTGGTATACTAGAGCGTATTGGGAATACTTGTGATCACAAACCCGCTTTTGAACTGCATGTCTATTTGATTTTCCATTTTCCTGTCCCTTTAATTCTCCATGATTGGGGTGATCTCTTTCAATATTTCTGAACCAAAAGTGAGAGCTCAACAGACACTGCTCAGGCACAAGCAGCAGCAGCAGGCGGGCACTGGACATCTTGTTTTCTGTGATGCTGCTGATTCTGCTGCTGTGGTGATGTTGCGCCGCGTTTGTTGTTTTGTTTTCTCTCTTAATCTGGTCATTCTTGTTCTTCTTCCTGCTCTTGTGTTTCTACTTCTTGCTGGTGGTGGTGGAAGTGGTGGTGGGATCTCGCTACAGTAGGTGTAGGGAAGCTTGTGCCACCCTGTACTTGGAGGGTCAGGGGGACTTACTAAGTATACTTATAACCCCTATAACCCATCCATAAAGTTACCCCAATGATCCCCACAATCGACCTACATGCTAAGTCTCCCTGACCCTCCGAGTACACCCTCTGTAATGGCACTTACAATACTTTTGGGTCCTGAGTGGCGCAGGATTTCCTCAATCCAGCGTAGTGATCATTTAGGGTTTAGGGTTTAGGGTAGTTTGGGGTTTAGGATTCAGGGTGGGTTTAGGGTGCTGCTGCTTCTGTGAGCACCGATGTCATGTCTCCTGTTCATGACTCATGCTACTTCCCTTTTGCTAGGATATTTTTCCTCCAGAACCTCCCTTCCTTTGCCAGGCGGTGAGGAAAATCCCGCGGCCACGGAGAAAACCAGTGTATCTGTAGCTTCCACAGAGAGCACGACGACGAGCACGACACCAGTGAGTACAACGACGGAAGCCTCCACCACCACTGCCACCACCAAGAGCACCACTACAGAGAGTACTACCACCCAGCCCTCTATCACCCAGGCTTCTACCACCCAGGCTTCTACCACCCAGGCTTCTACCACCCAGGCTGCTACCACCCAGGCTGCTACCACCCAGGAGTCCGCCACAACGACCAAAAGCGGCACAACTCAGCCGTCGGAGCAGTCCGAGGACGCAGCAGATGCCTCAGAGGAGGAAGAGCTTAGAGAGGAGGCGATGTGACTGAGGGTTCAGGGTAACGGTGTAGGTTTAAGGCTTAGGATTTAGGGTTTAGGTTCGTATGTGCCCTAGGGAAGATACAGGGCATCAGGAAATACTGTAAGGGTGATGTAGTCAATCTGCCCATGGTGTGTGTGTGTGTATTTATGCTGAGAGAGGGCCTCACAGGGATCGTTTCAGAAAGATCCAGCGGAACGGAAAAGAGGGCCTCACAGGGATTGTTTTGTTTAAGAAAGATACAGCAGAATAGGTGCAGACATGCCGAAGTCCTGGGCCGTCCGCTTGTTTCTTAGGGTTTAGGGTGGCAAGATGAGCAGCTATAGAGATTTTGGAGAACGCCACCACCTGTAATAGTCGTCTCCTCCTTATTCAAGGACCCACCCTCGCCCCCTGATTTACAACCCTAAAACTAAAACTAAGCCCTAAACCTTGGGCGCTGCCCCCCCCCAGTAACAGTTTATATTAGGGGTCCTATTAAGGGTTTTTTATAACCATATTATAATATCTATCCAACTGTTACTGAGGGGGGGCATTACCCAACCTAAACCCTACAGGAGAAAGCTGAAAAGGAGGCCTTAGCAAAAGAAAGGGAGCTGCTGAAATCTGAGCAAGGATCTCCTGGCCTGAGCCTTAAAGACAAAGGGTGTAAGGTTTGGGGTTTAGTAGGGTGTTGAGGGTCTAGGCTAGTTTAGGCTTTAGCGCCCCTGGTAGTTTAAAGGTGTAGGCTTGAAGGATTAGGGTATTTTAGGGTTTAGGCTTGAGGGCTTGGGGCAGGTTAGGGTTTAGGGTAATTTAGGGTATTTCAGGGTTCAGGGTTTAGGGTCAAGGGTAGCTTCGGGTTCGGAGTTTCGAGTATAGAGATTAGGGTTTAGGGTTTAGGGTGAGGCCTAACAACAACAGCAACCCCAAGTGCCCAGTATTTAGGTACTAACAATTGTACTACAGGTTTTGGGTAGTATGTGGCTGTTTCGTACTTGGACCCTTAGGGATTGGGGCGCCGGGCATGGGGTTTAGCGCTTCAAGACCGGTGGTTACTACCATTGAGTTTTTGGTTTTGGATTGAGGGCTCAAAGCCCTGAACCCCTAAACTCCAAACCCGTGGGAGCCAGGCTCTTGCTGTAAGGGATTGTGTGGGAGTTATGGTTTCGGGGCTAGGAGTTCTGAGGCCATAGGTACTGGGTGTAACATTTGGCTTCGCAGATGGTCTGCTGAGGTTTTTCCTCATATTTCTCAAACAGCCAACACTATAGAATTTCTAGTCAGGGCCCCAGAATCACCTCGTTCGCCCTACATATCTCTTGACATCTCTGCAGGCCCCAAATTTGAGGAAACTCCCATACAGGAATCCCCCAGCCTTTAGAGCCCTGTTGCAAGGAGCCTACATGTACTCTAGTCTAAACTCCTTACAGGATTTTTAGGGGAGTAGAATAGGGGTCACTAAGGGGGATGCTAGGAGTTTAGACTATAGCCTGCATGGGGTTCCATGTTTGTTTGGGAGAGGCTGGGCTTTAGGCTTTTAGGATTTCGTAAGGGCTTAGGGTTAGACCAGGGTTTGGGTACAAACATCGCTTCCAACTTCACCAGACTCGTAACCAGAATAGCATTATGTTTGGCGGTCCTGTCTAGGTAGATAGGGCTCAAGCATAATTACTAATGCAAAAAACTTGCCCCCAGCCTATCCACAGAACATGCACCTGGGGGACTCATGTCAACAACAATGCATGTTCAACTATTTCAGCTTTTAAGGCGCAATCTCAAAAAAATGCAGCAAACGTGCATAATTCAACCCATGCAGCAACAAATCCTTAACAAATGCATAACAGATGCACCGAACATGCAGTTTTGCTGAGGCATGGTGGCTGGTGTCCATTTGGATTGATTTTAGGGACATTGTTTTATTGGGTCATGTTGAAGACAATGTTTTTACATGTATGTTGCGTTCCAGAAATTGGCCCAACCTTGGGGGGCAACTTTCAAATCGCGTTTCTGGGGCAACTGTTTGGCAATTCCATTATTTCGGGGTTTCCACACCCAGCCAAGGACAGCCAGACCCAAGACTAGCACGATGAATTTGGCAACAAGGAGAAAGAAAGCACACTAGGTTGCAATCTTACGGAGATGTCACGGGCTGACGCGCAAAGAGCCCAACCTACCTCAATGAAGCAGTATGTCCTTTTAAGGCCGTCAGCTTTAGGGGTAGTTCCCCGAGCATGATTTAAGGAATATTCTGTAAGTAAGGGGTATTGAGCCTCCTGGGAACTTCAAAGCAGCCTCCACGGACGGCATCCGCAGTGGAAGTGACATTGCCTGCCGGCGTCTTGAGTCGCTACGCGAAGCCCCTCCCAGGTTCTGCAGGCAAATGCCCAAGTCATATCCAGCTAATGCCCTATGGTTTGCTATAATGAGTTGTATAGCCAACACTAGTGTCACTAGTGTTTCATAGTATGTCTACTTAGCGCAAGGAACCAAGGAGGCTTATGATTTTGTGTACCTCTCTCGCTCTGGGGATACCCTACCACCCTTTGACAGGGGCTGGGCTGTCAACCCTACTGTTGGTGGACAGCATTCTGCTGGGCTCTGGTAGAGAGTACGTAGAGTCATGCAGCATTATGTTGATGGGCACATTGCATGCCAAGCCGAAGAGATCATGCTAGTCTGTAACACTACAAGTATCAAAGTCTACTTGGGTTCATGCAACTACTCTCATCGACCAAAACACCACTAAACTCTAGATCCTAAACCGCTAATCCTCCTGAAACCCAAGCCTTATAAAGCATTAAGTCTGGGCCCCAAAGCCTCAAACCTAACCCTAAACCCCTAAACCCTAAGCCCTAAACCCCTGAACACTAGACCCCCTAAGCCCCTAAACCCTAAACTCCTGGACACTAAACCCCTAAACCCCAAAGGTATCTGCTCATCCACAGTAGCATCTGAGGCCCTGAGGAGCCGGGGAAGCCCAGTAGCGAGGCTGGCAGCAGTCTGTGCATCCAATTTCGGGGCTATACTTGGGTACTGCCCCCCCCAGTAACAGTCTATTTTAGGGGTCCTATTAAGGGCTATATGTATATAACCGTATTATATATACTTAATATCCAACTGTTACTGAGGGGGGGCAGTACCCAAGCTATACTCCTATTTCCTGTAGATTCAGGGATTAGGGATCAGGGTTTAGGAGCTAGGGTTTAGGGATTAGGGTTCAGGGTTTAGGGATTAGGGTTTCGGAATTTGAGTTTAGGGTTAGGAAGGGTTTAGGGTTTCTGTAGTCTCCTCAGGAATTATTTCTTCATGTTTATCTTAATTTTACCCTAAGGAATCATTCATAAGAGTCTTTGTTATTACAAGTCTAAGGAGACTACAGTTTCCTTAGGAATAGTTGCTCATGTTTAATAAACCCTCAACCCTAAACCCTCAACCGCTCACTTTTTTTTTCGGGGGTCGGGGGGGTCAGTATAGTAGGGACTATGCGATAGGCTGTAATATATTGGTCCGTGCACATCTGAAAAATCTGGCAGTTTGCTTGTTATGGCTTAGGGTCTAGGGCAGAGACGGAACCCTAAACCCTCAAACAGAAGCATCCTAAATGAGCAGTGTTGTATTTGGGGATACTATGGTACCCAACCTAGAGTAAGATTGTATCCTCCTTTTGGGGTATAGTATTTTATATAAGGAACATAATCTTACTATGTTCAACACCAAGAAAACCCTACTCAAATGTTTGGGCTTTCCCCCTAGGTCCTTCCCCCTTGCAGTATCGCTTGCCACAGTAAGTGTTCCCCGAAGAAAGACCCTAAAAGCCCTGAGACCTTGATACCACTGCTTCAAGGGCACTTTCTTAGGGTGTGGGGTCTAGGCCTAAGCCCCACACTCAAAAGCCTAAACCCTAAACCCTGGAATCAAGCAACTTGAACGTGGGCCTCCCCAATGACCAGAAAAGTAGCACGAATAACAAGTCTGAGAATGTTGGCTACTTAAAATCCTAGTTGTAATAATCATGTATACCCTGTTACTTTGGGATGTAAGGTCATTGTAGTGGGCTTTTGTGCTTGATGGGTATTCTAGTCTCCGTCCATCCCTTACTGTATCTTGCTCTGGGATGTGGGCCAAAAACTCTTGCAGGTTTAGCCTTTAGGACAGGTTGTGGTTTAGATTACCCGAGCTACGCACAGGGTTTAGGGTTTGGGGTTTGGGGGCTAGCGAAGCCTACACCCCACCCACACTGGCCTCTTCCATCCTAGAAGAGGCAGACGCAAGAATCCGAGAAAGATCCGCTGTTTTTCCAGGGAAGATGCTGTTGAGATACCCGTATTTGTTGTGTCAGTGTTGAAAAAGTGGTCATTACTCCATTCCACAGCATAGACCAACAACATGGGCTGCTGCAGAAAATAAGGGTGCCGCACAGGGATACGAAGTAGCCTAAGGATTCGAAACACTCCGAGAACCTCTCATCTGCAAATGCTTACATAAAGCGTAGGACAGACTCAGTCAGGAGAATGACAACACCAGCAATCTTGGTGATCAGACCCAAAGTGACTATCACAAAGCTACCCTGAGCCAAATTACTGTTCAGTACTTCAAAGGGGGGTACCATAGTCGTAAGGTTATGTTCGCATTTTGAGGGTGTAGTTTTGTAGAGGTAGCATACATTGATCTCACGTGGCTCGACAACCAAGAACTCGTAGCGCAAGGTCCACTTTGAGGGACCTCGGAGTTAGGTAACATGTGGTACGCAATAATGAGCCAGCCCATTGTGCCACTATGGTCACGCACGCTTTATAAGTAGGTTACCTAGCTCGTTCGTAATCCCAGGGTCCCACAAAGAAGCATCCTCAACCCTAAACCCTAGACAATTATCCCCATGAACCCTGTAAGGGGACTTACAGGAC